AGCAGTCGCCAAATAGGGGACCAGGCTACGGTGATGGTCAACTGGTGATCCGAGCCGAGGCCACACCGGAGCCAAGATCAAATGGCGAGAGGGGGGGAAAACCCGCAATTGGGTCTCCTCTGCTGGGCTTAGCGATTTCGACGATAATTTGTTATTTCGTTGTCGACAAATTACTCTCGGTCGCGTGTAGCTGAACAGGGCCGGTAGTTGCTCTCAGAAAGTACCTAGTGATCGTCGGGACTCCACGAGCCAAGTTGAGTAGTAGCAAATCAAGCGCGTTGGTGATGCTGATCTTCGATTCTGCCGGAATCGAACCTCGAAGACGTTGCACAAACGATCGACAAAGGGTGGGAGAGCGTGGTAAGACGAGGTAAGAAGGGCAGAACGTGGGAACGAAGGGCCAAAAAAGAAGATAATGTTCAACTAAAGACGACAAGGAAGAAGTATGGCTGACGGGCTGGAGCACTCGAGGACCTAAGCTTCAGTGCTACGCTCTGGTCGATCCGGGTCGAGAACAGGGCATGCGTGAGCAGGTAAACATGCATGCATACACTACGGAGAAGAGGATGGGACTTTGACCCAAAAGATTGACTTCCTCTGCAGGGCCAAGGGTGTCCTGGCAGGCATATGGGCAGCCAGGAGCATTAAGTAACCAATATGACCAGGGGGGCCTGGCAGGTCGTACGAGGGCCCCCTGGCGATTGGCGAAGTTGCGGTTTTCTGGCTTGAATGGTAGTCTGGGGGTGCAAGCCACGCGGGACCGCCAGGCTCTATTGAGGGGATTTAATCAAAGGAGAATACGACACTGCCTGTGAAGACGGCGCGCCGTGGACGGTTGGGCAAAGATGGATGCCAATAGATCGAAGCAGCCAATTTAGTGGGAGGCGAATAGGGGGCCGCGATGTGAAGACGGACATCTGAATGGACGAGCAGACGCCATGCCGAGTCTGCAGCGGGCTGGTTGGGAACCAAACCAAAGACATGCGGTGGGCTTTCATCTCCCAACGCGAGAATTGATCCATCAGCCATCGAGCGACTGGCTGGTAGTGTGGCGGACGGGTGGGCTTCACTGACGGCGGACGCCATCGCCAGAGGAGAGTGTGCGAGTGGAGGAGGAGGATGAAATGGCTGCAGATGGCGTCAGGCCCCTTCCGGGCTAGATTACTCAGGTGAGAACATGTTCCCAATCAGGACCGTTACGTTCAAGGTTTTGGCCCGCAAGCCGCTCAATTAGGCGTTACCGTACCTGAACCTATTTGCCCGCTAGGAGCCACTTGGAGCGGGCTTCTGTTCGTTTTTCTCTCCTCCGCTGCTAGAGTCTCCATTCCATGTAATTACCCTCTGGGTACCTACATTAGGCACTGCTAGCATGTGCTTTCGACGCCTTCTCCAGTCACCAGACCGAACTGAACCAGCCTTAAACAGATCAGCGATGCTAGCAGGGCCCTAGGCACGTTTGGTGGTTTTATTTATCCGGAGCCCACATGTTGCGTAGGTAGTTCCGTCCGTAGATGCATCCTAAATACGAAGAAGCAGTCATCTGTCATCATCCGTCCGAGCCAAACTTTCCATACCTAGCCATTGCGCACCGACAACACAACGTACCCAGGTGAACGGCCTTGGCCCCGATCCGTGCTTACTAGGTGCCTACCTGGTAGTGGAATGCATGTATGCACGGAAGGATTTTCTGCCCTTCTGCTCTCACTCAGCCCTGCAGAGCTGAGCTGGGGAAAGCTCACATCTGCTCTTCTTATGTTTGTCTTTGTCATGGAATACAGCATCGGGAAATCCCTTCACTAGGTAAGCTTCCTCAGCCCCAGGCAGCTTTGAGGAGTAAGACCGTTCCGAGGGCCTCAGCGCAGCAAGAGGAGATATTACGCCTCGTCCGCACCGGGTGGGATTTATTATTATCGACTCCTACTATAGCCAGGGAACTGACCGTGTGTACCTACTCTCGCATGCTTCAATATTACTACGACAGAGGATGTTGTGTCGCACCAAAGATTCGTACATATTGGTTTCGCCGAGGCACGGACGGCAATTGTCTGTGCCACGACGGCAGTCTATGGAACAACCCACAAGATGGCGGTCGTAGTGGTGGTGATGCTGCATGAGCAATTATCGCCCGCAACCCACTCATTTCCAATTGTGCACGACAAAGATTCCCGGGTGGCTTGCTCTATTCTCCCTTTTGGTTCCTTCCTTCCCGATGTCCCAATTGACTCCGGCTCTCGATGCCACCTCAACCTCTAGCTTGCTCCTGGCTAGCCAACAGAATAATAAGCAGCCACAGCAGCGACACAACAAGCCTCCCTACTGGCCGACTCAACTGCACAGCCTCGACTAGCTGAACAAAACGGTACCTGTACAATGCCCTCAGCGCTAATCGCGTATAACAGCTCACCGTTTGGTGGTGGGTGTGAAAGGACGGATGTGGCTACCGGCCGTTCAGGTGGCCATCCAGAAGGGAGAGTCGGCCCCTGTCCGCTGGGTCCATCCTCCACTGCGCTGTCGCCCTACGGTTCGTCGGCAGTAAGGACTTTCGGGTGGGCTGCACTAAGACACTAATCCACGCTACTCTAATGCACAAAGCATCACCCTCTCCCGGCGCCTTCCTTGTATGAATGTCGTCCCGTTAGAGCCACCGCAATGGCTCCACGACTCGCCCTTCCAACAGGGATCGTTCCGAGTTGTGCATCAAATCCCCATCTTCTCCATCTCCATCTTTGCTGTACAGAATCTGCCGTGTGAAATAGACTGCCAAGGCGGGAAATAAAACTCCAGAGCGAGTGAAGATCGTCACGCTCCAGGCACATATAGCGCGACCATACATAGCAGCGACGTGAGCCGCGACGCAACCCAAGGGGATGAGAAAATAGCTCAGCAGCGTAGCATCACAGACTGACTACATAGTGCGTCCATGCACATTGTTGTATTACTAGTTCATAAGTATATGCATTTCTCCACGCTAGAGGAGGCGGCATCTTACCATCCTACCCAAGAGGCCACACGCGACCCTCCATCCCCAAATATTCCAATATTGACCCACCAAGCACCACCAACTCCACAACCAGGGCGGAATAGGAAGCAAACGGATGCTCACATATCACATCTCCACGCCAGAACAAGCGCGAGGAGCGCAAAGGCAGACAGAGTGCGTGAGAGCCGCGTAATATGACCAGAATAGCGGCTGTGAGTGCCATACTAGACAAGGTCTAGAGTGCCGTTATTGCCATTGTCCATCGGTGTGTGTGCATAATATCTTTTTTTTTTTCATAATGAATATCATATGTACTCGTCAAAACACCCAAAAATAGTCCGAACAATAGCAAAGCGGTCATGTATTTCTGAATGAGAAGTCACTCCCTTGCCTGTTGTCCATGCTGGTGCAAGTGCATAGCTCAAAATGCATCTGCCTTGACACGGCTCGCATGTCAAACAATGCGGTCTGTGAGTATTGGTAGAGAGAGCTTACACCGATCCGTGCCAGCGTGGATCTTGCGACCAACAATCCCCCAAAGTACACTCTTGGTGGGTTTATTGAAAACACACCTGTGGGATTCAGCTCGGTCTGCGGAATGGGCAGGGCTCCCAGTAGACTCCCCTGGCACCCAAATGTCGTAAAACACCCTTGATTTCAAAAGTCTCTCGAGTGTCGGGAGAGGCCGCCTCAACAAGAAAATCCCAATGTAACAGCAGGCTGTAAGTAATCTCGGGACCGAGCTTCATGGCGGCGTATAAAAAGACTAGGGCACATGTGTAAGCTCGCAAAACCTTAAACAACAAGAAAGAAGCAGAATTTCTAAATTTGCATTTTGTCGGAATAAGCCTAATCGTCTAAAAATCAGCCTCCATTTGAAAAGGGTAGAGTGTGCCATTCAGTAGCGGAAATCGTTTATGTTGGCAGTACAACAGTCCAGTACAAAAAATTGCATGTGAGACGAAAAAACATCCGTTATCGTGTGTCTCGTAGTCAACAAACAGAATAATAAAATTGTCTCTAAGTCGCGTGGTTTTCATGGATTGACCCTGAGTCAGTGACTCTCATGTAAATTTTGAATGATTTGAATGTCAACGTGACACTGTGTCCTATTTTATGAGCCATGTTATGGGAAACTCAATCGTTTGGATTTCAGGCTCGTCTTCAAAGTAGAAGCATAGCCATCCGTTGAGTTTGCATATTGAATGTGCTAGATATAGGTATTCATATATGACCTGAGGGAATCGGCTTCGAGGATACGTAGGTCGGTGCGTTATTTGGAGGGGAAACTGGTTCAAATGTGCCTGATTGTTTCCAGGCGTTGATGAAAACTGTCTCCGAATGAAGGTTTTACAATTAAGACCATTGTTCAGCTAATCTGTCCTCCGCACATTAAAGCTTGTCCGTATAGGTAGTTGTGAAGTTATGATCCGGGCACGAACCTTCCATTAATCTTTCTAGATGGTCCTTAAATTTTTTAATTCAACCATGCCGATCCCATCCTACCGCGTGTGTTATTTCTTCCAGTGTGATGCAGATGTCGATCGCCGGTCATGTACAGGGTAGGCCATCAGAAATGGTCGCCGGGTACATGTACAGAGTGTGGCAACTCACTGCTCCCTTAGGCAACTTCAAATAAACCAATTACGTCCCGCCTGAGTCCGCCACAGGCCCGTAAATAACCAACCGGACAATTACATAGCTGAAGTGACCTGATGGCTTTGTTGACACGGTTTACACCTTCATCAATCTGCACTTCTTTCAGCTCCCTCCCCGCCGCGCGTTACCGGAGAAGCCTAAAGTAAAAGTCTTCACGTACACGTGTTAGTTGGAGACACAGCCTTTCAAGGCACAAAGGCCATTTCAGATATATCTGTCCAAACTCTCCCAGCTCAGAGTCATGCAGGGACCAGGCTCTCGACATTCACCCCTGCAACAATCAACCACAAGCAATTGAAGGCATCAAGACCAAGCCTATTACTCTTCGTCCAAGGAGACGAGAACCAAGACCCCGATAACCATGAGGCCCTATTTTCCAGCCCTCGTCACCTCCCTTCTCCTCGTTGGACCCGCCGCGGCATGGGGCTCATCTGCCAAATCCAAGAATGCCATCCTCCTATCCAACGTGCAGAGCCTCACCCTCCGCGGCAACGGCGCAAAGACCACAAACCGCCGTGTGTCGGCCATCCCCCAGCTCAAGTGCGTCTCCCACCCAGACCTATGCCGCCATGCCAGCATCGACGTGATGCGGTGCACCAACCAGGGCTCCTCCTACGGGACTGAGGATATCGAGTGGAGCTGCGCCGCTTCTGTCCCCGACGAGTTCCAGCTGGGCAGTACCAACGTCATCTGCGAGGGTTATTCGAACCCCGATGACCCTTATATCCTCAAGGGCAGCTGCGGTGTCGAGTACACCGTTACCCTCACCGGTAAGGGTGAGAGAAGACATCCAGACCTCGCCGATACCGTTAGAAAGCAGAATGAAGGCTCGTCCAATACTGTGTTCTGGTCAATCTTCTTCATCATAGCAGTCTGCATTGGTCTAGCAGCACTGCTCCGCCATTCAGAAAACACAGCACCGCAACAGAGACGTCCTCGCACTAGAAGAGGAGGAGGGGGGAGCGGATGGGGAGGAGGTGGAGGTGGAGGAGGCGGCGGAGGCCCAGGTGGATGGAACCCAGGTTGGGGCTCTGGCGATAACGACGCACCTCCCCCCTATTCAGAGCCGAAGCCAATTTACAACTCAGCCCCATCCTCGTCGTCCTCTTGGAGGCCTGGATTCTGGTCTGGTGCTGCTGCTGGCAGTGCTGCGGGATATGCAGCTGGTCGACGTGGTGGTGGGAGCTCCTCCCGTGGTCCAACCTACAGCGACCATACCACAGACAGCGGTTGGGGTAGGAGTCATGGGGAATCGTCGTCCTCTCAATCAGGACGATCAGGGCCCTCGGGTGACACTCATGAAAGCACTGGGTTCGGCTCTACCAGCCGCAGGTGATCCTTTCATGTAAAGCAAAAAAAACACTTTTGGAGGACACGGTGTGAATGATAACAGCTTCTCTTCGGTTGCCTATTGCTAGCAAAGCTCGAGTTTGAATTACAAGATGTATAAGTGCATAATCGCCCCCTATTATCCAACACCAATAAACTCCGACTGCCGGTTTGCGTTCATTGCAACTAACTTGCGACAAGTAATATGTACATGGAGAGTAGTAGCATCTTCCTACAGGAGAAGAATGCTTTGCCCTTTCCTTCCTTTCTTTTTATTAAAAAAAGTACACGAAGCCAGATGTGAGAACCGCCATCATGGGTTCTCGCAGAGTCCTAATGCCTCAACAACGCCGCCAAATATCCTCAGACATGGTTGTTCGAATAAAAACCAACAATGATTTCTCTGGGGTTGTAAGGGGTAGCTAGAAATATTGCGACCCGAAGGTTCGTTGGTGCCTTGAGTCGAGGGGAGTACAACTGGGGCTGTGGTTCAAATAGAAATCGGTCGATTGGTTGTATACAAAGGGTGGGATTGGTGTGTTAATAATCGTGTTGGTGATGAGCCTGCATAACGTCCATCTTGTCAAATGACCTAGCACAGGATGGACACTTCCGCATACGGTTACTGATGCGGTCTTCGATACAGCCTTTGCAAAAGAGATGACCACAGGTTTTTAGAATTCTGTTCTTGAATTCCTTTTCACATATTGAGCAGAGAGCAAAACGCTAGAAAGCAGGGCATTAGTCAACAAATCCCTTTCAACGCAAGACAAGTCCACAGGGGAAAGGAACAAACTTACCCTCAAACCCTCCATTTCCACTGAATGATTGCTCAGCGCTTGCGTCTTCCAGTAATCACGATCTTTTTGCATAGCATCAACCCGCACTTTGAGCTTTTCCGCCTCTGTCTCTTGAGCCGTGTTCCGCTCCTTCACGGCTGCTGCGGCGGCGTCCTTTGACTTCACCAAATTGGTCAAATCACTGACTTGCTTGTTTAGGGCTTCAGCGCGGCGGATCGATTCCTGGCTACTGTTCTCCGTCTCCTTGCTCTTCGCTAGCAGTTGAGCATTGGTCTGCTTCAGATCTGCCATTTGCTTCTCCAAATTGCCGAGGAGCGTCCGGTTTTGAGATTCCAAATCCTTTAATTGAGCAATAATTTCGGCACTCTTTCCGTTTTGAATTCGAAGAGACCGAATTTCGTTGTTTCTTGTGTCAGCATCCTTTCGGGCGGCAAAGTACTTTTGATCAGCCTTGCTCTTCTCTGCTGTCAAAACCGAAACACGTTCCTCGAGCGAAGCAAAGTCCATGATTTTCTTCTGCGCCAAGTCCTTCATTTTCTTGTATGCCTTCTCAATAGAGGGGAGCTCCTGGTTAATTGATTGGAAGTCAAGCAACAACTTCTTGTATTTGGCTTGCAGATCCTCATGCGATAATTCTGTGACATCGCTTGACTCCGCCCCTTCTTCGTTGGCTGGGCCCAGTCTGGCAATTTCCGACTCAAGCGCCGAGATTCGATCGTCCTTGGCGGCAGCGAGCTCCTTGATCTGTTCAAGAGCGATCCTATCACGCTCCATGTGTGCTTTCCGCTGGGTATTTTCAGCCAGAATCTCATCACGAGCGGACCGAACCCGTGTCAAGTCGTTGTCGCGAGTTACGATCTCCGCTTCCAGCTCCTGAGTGATTTGATTCGCATCTGTTTCTAACTGAGTCCGGAATGCCGTTCTCTCTGCCTGGAGCTTCTCTGCCTCTTCTCGTAATTGCTTATTCGTTGCTTCCAGATTGTTGATCCGTTTAATGAGATCCTCATTTTGGATTTTGAACTGTTTGAACACATCCGTACGAATGTAATCCTCGTCAGTTAATGCATCGCGCCGAGCCTTTAATGTTGAATTTTCGTCTTGTAGCGTTTTGACCTCTGCCAGAAACTTGTCGATCTGCTCCTTTTGTTTCGCTGCAGCTGCTGTTGCCTCCTCATACTTCATCAGGATTTCTCCATGGTTGGCATTGCCGTTGGTTTCTCTTCCGTCCGTACCATTGCCTGCACCGGAAGATGGTTCTGTTACTTTTGCAAATGCCTGTTGCTCAAGCTTTTGCACCTGAACACTTTTAGCCCGATCCAACTTCTTCTCGGCCTTGAAATACCGGAGCGTTGCCGCATTCAGTTGCTCGGAGAGCTGCTCTTTCTCGCTGCTAAGACGGTCGAGTTTCAACAGGTACTCCTTCTGGGATGCCAAAAGCGCAGTGATTTTGGCCTCTAATTTAGCGCCTTCGGGCGACAACTCTCCACGATGCGCTGCGATTCGGTTCAGTAAGGACTCGGCTTTCGATTTTATGTTTTTTCCTTTGTCTTGTAAATGTTTTTGAAAATCATGCAGGTCCTTGAAGGTAACGCCAGTTAGATAGCGGCCATCTACAATTGTCGCGTGTTAGTCATGATTGATCAGATGTAGGGCGTCCAAGCGCCTCTTGCCCCTTGATAAAATTATGGAGTAGAAATACCTGAGGGAGTTGGGTTCGATGATATGGTGGACTCGGCCAAGAGCTGCAACTCCTCGAGAACCTGTGGAAGTTAGCGTACGGCACATGCTTGGGAAATCTTGAGCAACATACCTGCAGCCACCAAGCATCAATGATCCGGAGGTGATCATCGTGATGTACTGATCGCTTATGTAATTCCTCGAGACGTGATTCCGCAGTCGATGCCCTACGACTATATTCCTGCATTTGTCGATAGATGGCGCCTTTTGTGTATGACTATCGCCTTGTGTCAGTCCATTGTTTGTCTCGAAGTCAAAGAAACGCGCTCAGTCATGAGGCCTTGTTTCGCAGCGGTCAAAAGGGGAGAAAGAAGACGGGAAAACGCGAGGATATGCATAATTTCAAACGCGCGACTTCGAGTGGGATGTTGTTCTGGGTAGACAGAGCAATCGATCCGCTGATCTAGTTGGCATCAGAACACGAGAGGATAGTCGTGTCATCACCCCACCCAAGAGAAGGGTACGCACAGCGTACAGGGAGGATGAGCAAAGGCAAAGTGGCTTGGCGGTGCGGTTTGAAAGTGTGGTATCGGTGGTCACCGGAGGGGGATTGATTGATGAGGAGGAGGCAGGCGAAGGGTTGGGATTCAAATGCTTACCTCGATCCAGCCTTCTTCTTTCATTTCAGGGCCATCATCCTTGGTCCTGTTACCATTCACCGCGACTCGCTTGCTGGGGGGCGCGAGCTCGTCGGCGTTGATTGCCGGTCTCTTCCTGTCCTCCATCTTGGTAGTCGTGGATGGACGGGGTGAGGCAGATGGTGTCGTGGCCACAGGCATGAGAAGACGTGCGCGGAGCTGAGCCAGAAACCGCCGGCAAGAAAATTAAAACGCGGCTATCGTGACTGGGAGGGCCTTTAAGCAAAATCCCATCTCAACACCTGGCGCGCGGGCGGTCATGAACTTGGGCGGGGCGTAATGCGTGATGATGATAGAGGATGTTGCGTTTACTAAGGAGTTGAAATTTCGAGGTTGCAGAGTCGCAAACCAGAATGCACGGGTCTCCACCCTACAAGAGGCTTAGTGGACGTGCTAACCGAATCTAGCATCCCTTATCGTGATCACCTTCGGGTAAACTTCGCTGTGACATCCCACCACTGATTATGCCGCTCTTTTTTTATCGGTGGGGAACCTAGAACTGAATGTGAATTTCTCTGTCCCGCATCACAGTTTCAATTGTCGCATTGGCTTCCATCTCGCAAATCCTGCAATAATGAGTTGTATACCTCATCCTGAAACATGAGCTCGATGTTCAAGAAACGAGGCGGCCTTGCCTTCAAGCCCAAGCTTCCTGTGGCAAGGCCACGCCCGACTGCACCAACCTCACAACCATCCAAGCCTGCCGCTGCTGAGGCGCAGATCACCCCTCCGCCATCAGACGTGCCTTCTCTCAATGAGACTGAAACCGCGCAACCGGAAACCTCTATATCCGACACCTCGAGCCCCGACACCCCAGAGACGTCACTGGAGCCTATCCAGGAGCCTGCTGCCAACCATCCCGCAATTGCGACTCTGCCAAACCCATCACCGGATCTGCCGCCAGCCTCTGAGTCAGATGACCACCCATTGGCCGCTCAACACACAGCACCCCCGCTTCGCACTCTTCCGAGACAAGATACCTTAGAGACATTATCTGCTAGCACAAACCAGGCTGATGATCAACGACCGCAACCGGCAGCCGAATATGCCACTCCTTCCAATACCTTGGAAGAGCCAATTGAGGTGCCACTAGCCGAGGCCGCCATAACGCCGGACGCAAGCGAGGCCTGTGAAACCCTGCAACCTACGCCACCATCTTCAATTATCAGGAGAAAAAGGACAACGACTGCCGCGACTGCCGCGACGGCTGAGGCAAGCGAGAGCAGCGCGGTCACAGCACCCAGGAAGCGACAACGAAAGGCAACCCAAAATGAAGACGACGGCGCAAAAGAAGCACCCGCGCGAAAACCGCGCCGTCCCCGGGCCCCCTCGGGGGAGGCGGGGGCTAGAACACCAAGGCGTGCCCGGTCTCTGACACCAGAGGATGCGGAGAACCAGGTGGTTGACCTGCAGAAACTGAAAATGTCCGACCTAACTAGAGACCTACACATAGGAAAGAAGTTCAGCAGACACGACGAGCTTAGAGAGCGGGAGAGACAGGCAAGGGCGAAGGGGAAATCCAGAACCGAAAGTGAAGGGCCCGAAGCCGAAGGGGAGAAGGTCGAGGCAAACGGTTCTGCTTCGAATAGCGCCGAAGCAACCCCAGCAAACCCCACGCCAAGCGCGGCATCGCAGGCAAACGCAGGTCCGCAGTTCCGCATCGTGGATGGTCAGATCGTCCTCGACCAGAGTTCATTGGTCATGGACCGACATGCTCGGGCTGTTGCGACACAGGGCGACTTGGAGATGGTGGAGGAGAACGACTTCACCCGGCTCATCACGAGCAGCTCCTTCATGAACACATCTAAATTAAAAGGACCCAACATCTGGACGGCAGAGGAGACAAAACTCTTCTATCGCGGACTCGCCATGTTCGGGACCGACTTTGAGATGATCTCCCAGATGTTTCCTGGGAAGCAGCGCCGGCATGTCAAGCTCAAGTTCAATCGCGAGGAGCGCCATAGTCCTCAACTAATCCACACCACCATAGTCGGGGAGAAGAAGACCAAGATGGACCTCAATGAGTATAAATCCTTCACGGGCACTGTTTTCGAGTCGGTAGAGAGCATTGAGGCCGAGCATAGTAAGATTCAGGAAGACTTCGAGGCCGAGCAGAAGCGCGTCGCCGACGAGCAAGCCGAGATTATGCGAAAGAAGCGAGAGGAGCTTTTTGCTGATGATGACAAGGCGGAGGATGGGAACGGAAAGAAAAAGAAGAAACGGAAGACGAAACAGCAATTCGAGGACGAAGGGCGTTATGGGGAGGTGGTTATCGAAGAAAACTTGTAGATCATCCGCCGCAGTCGGGAATTGGGAAACGGTAGGGAAGGTAACGGATGGGAAGGAAACAATTGGAGGTAAGGAAATGCAGGAATGATACCCAGCTTGAAGACAGCATTTTGCGGAGTTAATGGTAGAATTATATTGCGTGCAAGGCAATCAGCTCGTTGATTTTTTTTTTTTCTTTTTTCTTTTTGATTTTTCGCTTTTAACGTTATTCAATTCAATTCAAATATCCGCTTTCTCACGTATACTCGCCCGCATGACCTATAATCCGCACAGTGCTGTGCTATGGAACACGTCTCGGGTTTGCACCATTTCCATTGATGAAGTATCTTGACTGAAAAGAAACGATAATCAAGTATGAATAGGCCCAACCTATCAAGCCTCTTGTACAGGTCTGCCTCCCATCCTCCCAGTACTGACAAGCATCTGACGTCCTTGTTTCATCAGTAACGCCATTTGATCCCCCCCGAATTATTTCATAATCATGACATCCCGAAACCCAGTGTATCATACCCGCATACTTAATTGGTAGGGGGTTGATCATCATCATCGGGTTGGTCGAAGAGGAAGTTGGCGGCTAACTCCTCGTTCTTATCGCAAGCGAAGTAGGCCTGGATGGCCTGGTCGCGGTCAAAGCCGAGTCGGCATAACTAATCAACGGGTTTCAAGTCAGCAGGGTTTCGGTATTAGCCAGGTAGTGGGGTTCTTACCCTCTCGATCGCGTCCCGTTCCTCCTCGGTAACGGAAATAGCCTGAGCACCGGGGGGGAGAGGAACGTCATCGTCGGCATCCTCGCCGAGGAGCTGGAGGAACTGATCTGGGTTGGAGGCGATCAGTTGAGCCAGTTGAGGGTTTCCAGCGCCGAGCTGTTGCAGGATGGGCTCCAGCATCTGAGGTTGCTGCTGGACTACTTGTCGCAGCTGTTGAAACTGTGCATTGTTTCGGAGGAAATCCAAGTTACCAAGATCACCAGCTTGGGCTGTGGCAGAAGGATTCGAGGATGCCGATCGCTCGGTGCCTCCTTGTTGCGCAGCGAGATCGAAAAGATTTACGTTTCCTCCCTCGCCACCCTGCGCGGAAGGAGCAGAGGCAGCTGGGGGAGCCTGAGGGGCGGCGGCAGCCTGCCTCTGCTGCGGCTCTTGTTGGATGTTGTCGGGAATTCCCTGGACTAATGTCAACACTACGTCCTCTCGATGTTCAAGAATTCGTCCAATACACTTACAGTCAGAAGATACTCGACAGCGCGGTCGGGATTGTTGAATGCAGCGCGCATCGCTGCCTCGATCTGACTCCTCTCGAATCCCATAGCCTCCATATTCGCAATGGCCTCGGTACGCTCAGGCCCCATGGCCAAACCCGAAGGGGCGCCGCTGGGTGCCTCCGTGCTGCGCTGTGGAGTCGGCGTGGAAGGAACTGCGGTGGTGGCGGATGAGGAGTGCGATGGAGCAGGAGGAACAGCAGGAGTAGAGGCGGCAGCCTGAGCTGGTGTGGCATGAACGTTGGATGGTGCGGCTGCGGGCTTCTCCTTGGGCTAAATGGACGGTATTAGAATCTCCAGATAGCTTTCCAAAGAGCATGAATATGTGTCGCTCACCTTGTTCACCATACAGACAACGTACCCCTTCTCCTCGATGTTATAAGAAGCCACAGTCTCATCATCTTTCAGGATTTTGCCTACAAGCCTGTCAGTCATCGCCACTCGCTCAGCCTCAATACCTCACGGGCCAAACATACCAGAGTAGATGAGCTTCTGATGCTTGGGGTCCCAGCCCTTTTCGGCCGAAATCTTCTCCTTGAGGGACGATATCTAGAAGTAGCCACAGGTTAGCGGCGATGTTCGAGATCGGAGGGGCAACATCGAAATGTTGCCCCAAGGTTGGGAGGAATAAGTCGGGCGTACCAGATCAGTCGGCTCGGCATCGAGCGAGAACTTCTGCTGCTTCAGGTCCTATTACAAAGCCCAGAGTTAGTCGGATTCGTAAGCAAAGTAGTGAAGCAGGGCGGATGGAGCATATGCCACAGCTAGGTGACGTACCTTGAAAGTGATCTTCATGGCGGGCGGTTTCAAGCAGCTGGTAGACTGCTGCGCCAACAGAGAAGCGGGTTTAAGTAGATGTGGAAGGGGGGTAGAATCGACGGGGGAGAAGCGTCTCTTGATGTGCGAAACGGGCGAGAGAAGCCGGACACCTGGAGCGTGTGAAGTGAAAACAGACAAGATGCGAGGATTGGGTTGGCGCTCAGGATTGGAGGTGTGTTGACATTTGGCTAAGGTCAGTCAGTCAGCAGGCAAAAGCCGAACGTGAAAAGGTGGGGTTGCGGCACTCGCCCCTCTTGAGCTCCCACTCACAGCTTATCTTCAGCACCCGTCGCTGGTGTCTGCCTGGTAGGCAGGCAGCTGGGTGACATTAGTTTGAGACACCCAGTTATTATACTGCTTCTTCTCGAGTCCGCGAACGATGCTATCGAATAGTTGAGGGCTAATGATATATATATGGGACAATACACTAGAGATTGTTGATTTTTTCTCACCGCATACTGTCTTATCAGTTGACCTAGTCATCAAAGAAAGGTGTCTGTTTTCACCACCGTTCACTCTAGTGTCTCATTTCTTCTGTCCCCTGCTAAGTGGTACCTGTTGCGGCGGGGATGTTTAGGGTAGCTGGAAATAGCACTACGCATACAGCTACTGCCTAATTGACCTAGTTCTGTCGCCATCTATTGGGCTCGTCTCTCCCTTGGTGGAAACGCGATTCGCGTGAGGCGAGGCCGTTTCTTGTCACATCCTACCAGAACGAGAACTTCATACGCTGCTTATTATTCTCAATTAATCATTGACATCATGTATGATGATCTTAACCTCGTTCAACAGCCGACCCATCACAACCCAAGCAGAACAAGTAAAAAGACGACATCACGGAAGTGCTGATCATTGACTTTCAAGTGGTTTTGAATATTTTACTTCTTTTTGATCATGGATATCGTTTCTATCATCTATGGGAGCCCCGAGTACTCCCATGACACCTTTTCCCCCAATAACGCCTGCTCACCAACCCATCAGAATAGCTTGTGCAAAGCTATATGAAAACACAAAACAAGAATATTGGCACAGCCATATATACATAAGCAAGGGCTCCATCCCCAGAATTACCCCATTAGCCTCCATCTTGGTCAGGGGTTACGACACAGCGTTACCCTTCCAATCCGCTTAGCGGCCCCCAGCGTTGAGCACAAACATGGGGATAGGTGAAGCCAAGTCCGGCTCCTCTTCCACCTCTCGAATGCTCTGCTGCTCGTCGATTGGCTTTCTTGGGGGGCCGGCTTCAAACGTACTCGACTGAGCCAGCGGGCTGGAGTTCGAGATCACACTGCTGCTGCGGATCCGCCTCAGAGACTGGTTGCTGGCACGTCGGGGCAAGACCATCCCCGCGTTGGGTGCTGAGAAGACCGAGGTTCCTGGGCTGGCGAGAGGAGGTGGAGTAGGCGAGTCGGAGCGGAACAATGGGTGAATGTGAAGCTCGGCACTCTCGACACTCCCGCAGGGTGAGCTAGCCCTGATGCTTCCCCTGATCGATCCATCGCTATTGCTGCGTCCACGCTGATGGATGGGTGGGGGGAGCTCCAAGTCGCCAGGGGTACCGAAAACAGGTGTGTCGTTGACAGTCGGGCTGGCTGGGATAGGTGCAAGCGACCGGGGAAGACCGTATGCTGAGATGGAGTTCTCACGCTTCATGCTCCTGCTATTTCTGCCCATTTCCAAAGAAGCCCCATCGCCCAAGTCGGAGTGGTCGTCGGATTCCCATCTCCGAGAGCTGGAAGATTCAACTGATGGGGTCCTCCGAATATCTCTAGTTGGTAACAGTCTAGTCTTGGATGAGACAGTGCGGATGGTCTGAGACATGGAGGATCTCGGCGACACGATAGCCGCAGATGGCGGTCGACTAATGGTAGAAAATTCGGTTGATGATTCGAACGAATTGGTCTCGAGCTTCTCGGACTTGGTAGGCCGAGTTCGATCGTAAGGTACTGCCTTTACACGCAACTTGAGGGAAAGCTTGGATGAGAATTCGTCGCTGTGGAGTGAGGAATTCTCATCGACAGCGAGGCGGCGAATGATCAGGAAATACATGGCAATGAATGCCAACTGGAAGACGACGGCCATCGCCGTGAAGACGGACAAGTTGAGGACGAAAACCCGCTTAGATCCATTGAAAGCCTCCCTGTCGTTCTTTTCCGACACCTGGTTGAGACAGATGATGTTGGCAAGTGAAGCCGCAGTCCCACCGACAATGAGCAAGATACAGATGCCGAATTTGATGCTGCGTCTTCTCGGGGACCAATTGCTCAGGAATGTGGGCGCTGACTTGAAGAATAGACTGGAGAGAGAAGTTGCAATGATAGCCCAAACCAGGGCTTCCAGAGCGGCAGAGGCTATGGCCGATGCCCTGACTTGAGATCCAGGCCCAGCTTGAACAGAAACAACGAGGTCGATGCTGATCAGGGCAACCGTACATAGTAAGGCAGCCAGGCCGGATACGACGGTAAGAAGGTGAACCATTTTGATTCGGGTTTTGAGACAGCCTGCTCCTCGGGGATGAATGAAAGTGCGATGTTGTCGTTAGGACTGGCAGTTTGGAGGCGTCCCTCAATAGGCGATGGCCTTTCAGAGAAGTACAAGACCACCGATCCGGTGGTAGTTGCTGGCCATACACTTACACAAGGCTATCAAATATCGATGCTGCGCCAGATGGCCAGGGCGCGAAAAGAGGTCCGTCCTTTTTGTTTTTCCAACTCAGCGCCGATACTGGAGTAAATATATTGGGTGGTGGCAGTGTGAATGGTCGACGCTTTGAGTGAAAAGAATGAAGTACTTGGTAGCTGTCGTCGCCTTGTCTGGTCTGGTTTTGGTCGCCGAGGGCAGGGAAGGTATGGATAAGAATAATATGGATGAGTTGACGAGATCCTATCAAGACGGATGGCGGTGCCTTTCTGTAGGTCGCCAGCCGGACATGGAGGACCGGCTCTGAAGCAGATGTGGACGACGCGGGGTCTTGAAATCCACAGTGGGATGTGAAGGGATCTGGCCGTTGTTGCCGAGGGAGGCTTGTTGTGAAGAAAACAAAGCCAGATGAGATGGTGATGAGACAAAGAGACAAAACGGCCAGAAGGGAGGACGATGATTGTCTCTGGGGATAATGAATGTCAGTGAGATCTTATGATTAAGATCCACCAGTTGGGAAGGTAAGTAATAGTAAACGAACGGCAGAGAACGAAAGTGGGTGACGGCACGTAGGTAAGGAAGGCAACAAAGCATGAATGAATGCGAGAAGAGGGTGGGACGGGCCTGTCAGTCGTTGGTTGGGGCTGAGGGTATATCTAATATTAATTCCGAATGGGAGTGAAGGCAACCCGCCCTGCAGGACAGACAAGCTATTCTCTACGAATGACGCTCCGTGCTCGCAGGCAGCGCATGGGCATGGGCATGGGCATGGGCACCGTAGATGACATCCATGGGAAGGTGTCTGCTACGGACCAACACCAGCCGATGGGCCATCTGGGGCGGTGGGCCCAGGCTAGGTGCTTGGACGGACAGGACAGGTCACCATCAGCGCCCCAATCGAGAGGTTCAGCCCAGGAATGACAACGTGTGAGGACTGGCCGGGGTGGGCAGGGGCACAGGAAGCAAGCTTGAGATCCCCCCGGAGGATGAGGAGGGATTCCGTGACGGGAGAGGTGGAGAGTGCTTGAAACTCGGGGCTGACCTGACCTGGCTGGGACCAACGCTGAAGCCCAAGAGGTAGCCATTCTGACTCTTTCCGTGGCCGGCCTCCCTTTTCCCGCTCTAGATCATGATATGTTTGATGATTCTGGTGTAGGAGCCTGGACCTCGGAGTGGAAACCCTACCCCCCCTCCCAGCCGGTAGAAGGGAGGCAGAGTTTTTTCTCTCTCTGATTTTAGTTTTGTCTATGTTGCCATTTATTTCTTGAAAAAAGAAGGGCAGCAAGGAGATGGTGGGTTGATGGGTGGGAATTATGGGGTCAGCTTATTTTGATTTGGCTTTTCTTCCGACACGACGTAGCAGTGCGACTCCATTATGCTACTCTACGAGCATGCTAATAAATAATAACAGGCACTTTTCACCTCACAGCAGCACTCTGCACGGCTGTAAGATACTACTTAACCTAGGTAGGTACTCTGGCCCCACGGCAAAACAGCACAGTGCTCTGTTCCTGAGCGGCACCAACGTCTCACACCGGCAGCTGTCAAGGCCCGGGCACAGCGGTCTTGGGCGACGTGCGCGCTGAAGGAGGGGCTGTGTTTTGTGTGGATTCAACCTACGACGTGTGCAATCTCGACTACGAGCCCACAGGATCTGAGGGCTCTGGAGGAGAGTTTCTGATTCTTCCCCGAATGCGCCGTTGATTTATATCCTTGTCAGCGTTTCTCCCGTGGTTTCCCATCGCATGTCGGTAGTTTCGCGTGCCTCTTCATCCCCTCGGTCCCGTCCAGCGTCCTCTCTCCCCTCCTCCCCTCCCGACACTGTGTGCGAGATTCGTTTACGATGCCATCATGCATGACAGGCGGCGGCGGCTGGTCTAGCAGCTGCCAGAGAGGTTGCGTGCGTGTGTGCGCCGCAAATCACCCCACCCCTTGCATTAAAGCTCAACTGCGCCAGTGTCTCAGCAAGTCAGCCATTCCCTTGTCTCTGAGACGGCACCAAGTGGGCTATTTTTGTGATTAATGTCACAATTTGTGCTAGTCCCTTAGTGCAGGTTCTTGCGCGCTAGTACCTGGCTAGAGGTAACAGCCCGCTACATCCACTGTGGAGAGGTACATGAGTTTAGTTAGTTGGCCTCAGGCAGCAGATTTGTGCATCGCCTCCTTGCTTGAGGGCAAGTGATTTAGCTTCTTGCCCGTTATTCGCCTAATCAAGACAACGCAAAAGAAGCAAGAAGAGTTTTTTTTTTTTTTATTCCCTCTCTTTTTTCTTGTCATTTCCCCTCTTCTCCATAATCAATTAGTAGCGTACAGCCCACCACGACTACTCCGCTAAC